CGCACCTAGTCCGAAGTCGTCTGCCATAGTAGTTATCATAATTCCCAGCATCAGACAGTGGACTTGGTACGTTCTACTAAGTGGCCCCGACAACAGAATCAAGTTGCGACAACGAGGTCAACCCACCTCTATAAATCGAAAGGAGACTGCGACCATAACAGAGGCCACACCATCTTGGTATTCATAGCTATAGTGACTACTATTTGTCCGTTCCACCAGAAGACGACGGCGGATTCCTCTTGACCAGCTGTCGATTGACTTTACTGGAAGATTCATGCTGACGCTGATTTTAAGGTAATCTCCTTCGATTTCGGTGAGAAGGTGTTTAGCCTTCGTCCGTCATATGACGAATATCATCAGAGCAAGGTATCATCGTCACAACAGAATTCAAGCTGAGTCAAGAAAACTCCTATACGAAAAATCAAGAAATCTAGGTGGAACAGACCTTCGAATCCCTTCACCCAACACTTTCACTCGAAATGGAAGTAGGCTCAACAATTATGAAACAAGAGAGTCCTCGAAACCCAATTTTTATTCGCTTTTACTATTTGTCTAATAAGACAGTATTCCACAAACAGGACATGTGATTTGGAAGAAGGTGAACTGCAATACTCGAGACAAGGCATTCAACTCGTCCCTCCTTGGCTAGAACACACATGCGGACAGACGAACAGGGTCAAGAAGATAAGCACAGTGTGTAGTTCCGGCTCCCTCTTACCTCGACGGTAAAGCATCACCTGCAGTACTGCTAAAGAAGACGTGATTTTAAAAATTGGTACACCTTGCCTTCTTACCTTAAGACACAGTATTTGACCCCTCCCTACAAACTCAGTCGCATTGGGAGGAGAGATCGGTCTTTGAATCTGCTTAACCACAAATCTTCCGAACGTTTAGAATGCGTTGTCATCATATACCCTGATAAGTCGAGCCTAAAGCATAGTTCTCCGAACCTATATTTTACATGCTTACGTTTTCAAAAAAGATTAAATTTTTCTTCCGATATTTCGACGTATG